AAGGCCTATTATAGATTTTGCATTACAATCCTATGTATATATATATATATGTATATATATATATATATATATATATATTAGTTATTATGTTTTATACTGTTCACATGTTTCGATATTCTGTATTGTATACAGTATTACGTCTTGTGTTCCGTCTGTCTCAACTCTTCGGAAGTGTTGGTCCACGGACGACTGCTCTAAGCCCTGAGGCATTTGTTCGATGCCTTGAAGTTTCGAGTATATTGAGTAACAAAATATATAGGGTTTAGAGTTTAATTAGGGTTTAGGGCACACAAACTCGATCCCCCAAAGACTATTTACTAATTTAACTGTATGTGGGATGAACAACTCGTCTCCGTGGAGGAATCCGCAGCCGAAGAGGATGACGAAACAGGCCACGGCTAGCCGGCCATGATTCCGCTAAAGACCTCTGGCTCTTGTAGACCCTGCACGCACTGAAGATTTCGGATAATCAGCTATGAAGGCTTATAAACCCTATTAAATCCCAACACCCTGAACCCGACAGACCTTAGACCCTAAACCCGAAACGAAACCCCAACACCATAAACCCGAGGCGTCAAACCCTAAGCCCTGAACCCTGAACCCTAAACCCTAAACCCTGAACCCTGAACCCTGAACCCTAAACCCTAAACCCTAAACCCTAAACCCTAAACCCTAACCCTAATGTGGCCCGTCGGATCGAGGGTCTAAATAGGTCTGGAAGTTTCCACGGCGTATGGGGCTCGGGCTTCTGGTCCCACGGTTTAGGGTGGTTTCGGGTTTAGGGTTTAGGGTTTAGGGTTAGGGTTGGTGCGTGTCATAGCCCTAAGACTGCAAGTATACAACTAGCACCTACTTTGGCGTCTGAAGTCTATGAATGGTACCTAGTTCGGGCTATTTAGAGTCTTAGGGTACCTTGACCCTGCAGGGTTGAGGGTGCAGGGATATTATTTGAGCCATGACAAGGAAAGCACATCACACGATAAATCGTACATACCTTTCGCAATTTGTCCAGCCTAGTCCCATAGTCCATAAGCGCGTCAAGTAAAGCCGTGAACCCCTGAGCCACACCCGACACCCTTAAACCCTAAAGCCCTCTAGCGTGCTAACCACCTTACAGGACTTCGCCTCCTGCTGGATATCACAATCTCAGCAGGTTTTGGGGCCTTGTGGGTTTGGAAGGACTGACCTGGATGCTTGCAGTTTTTGTTTTAGGGCTTGCAGGATTTGTGTTGTGGTTGTTTCGGGCTTCGGGCCTGCCCTAAGGGTCCATGTGCCCAGATAGTATATACTTTGGCCTTAAAGTAGTCGCTGTATAGGTACTTTGTGGCCAAAGTTCATTCTAATTGGATACATGGACCCTTGGTTGTGGCCTAGAGGCATGTGGGTAGTTGTCAAAATTATGGTCCCTTTTGGGGTACCCTAAATAATAGGTGCCGTATTATAATAAGGACCCAAAAAGGGACCATAATTTTGACAACCACCCATGTATGTCAGCATCGAGTCCGAGTTAGCCCTAAACCCTAACGAGCAACTCAAACTGGGAAGCAACGGACGTGGCTTTCCACTGCTTGTTCTCATGCCCTAAGGGTCCAAGGGTTTAGGGTTTAGGGTTTAGGGTTTAGGGGTTTAGGTCCTTAGCGCCCCAAAGTCCTTAAATAATGGGCACTTGGACCCTTAGGGATGGACGACTCAGTCCTTATCGAACCTGATATTGGGCTGCGGCCCTGGATCCCTGTCGAGGTCGCCGGAAGGGTCACCGCCCAGACTCTGGGCCCTCGGGGCATCAACCCAGAGAAGAACGAGGTTGAGGGCTCCCTGGAGACCAAGAAGCGGATCTGGGGATTGGACTAGAACGGTTAGCCTCCCTGCGGTTAAGATTGAGAAAGCCTACCACCTCTTGCACCTTCCTGAATTCGACGATGGGTGCCGCCGCGTACCTCGAAGGCTCATCCAGGAGCTGAGGGGCAACCGGCAGTACTGGCTAGCCGTCTTTCCGGGCCTGGCGCCGTATCTAGGAGCAATGACTTGCTGAGCCCCCCGGATGAGGATGGGAACGCAAAGCCCATAGGCACCGACACGGAGGCGTTCTGGCACCGGTTCTGGGAAGCGCTGGAGCTACAAAGGGTCCTTGTCGAGGCAAGGTTCTCTCACTCCCTTTTGACCTAACAAGGGTTTAGGGGGTTAGGGTTTAGGGTTTAGGGTTTAGGGTTTAGGGTTTAGTAACAAGCTTTGTAGATTAAGCCTAACACGACACAGCTCTGAACCTGAGATCTGCCGTATGACTGGGTTTACCTGTACCCCAAAACACCCACCTTTTGAGTGTCCCTTAGTATGGCGTGTTTATATATATATATAGAGAGAGAGAGAGAGGGTTCAAGGCTTAGGGTTCAGGGCATGGCATACTGCTCAGGGTTCACGGTTCGGTTCAGGATCTACAATTGCAGTCGCGTTTCTATATAAGGAAGTATTATTATGCTTCGGGGAAGTATCCCCCATGTGGGTACTTAGGACCCTTGGGGTTTGGTGTAGTGTCAAGGATCGGGTCTGGTGGGTTCGGTTCGGTGTACACGAGGTAGGAGTGTGGGAGTTCGTGGATTCTAAGTCCTAACCCTGAACCCTAAACCCCTAAACCCCTAAACCCCTAAACCCTAAATCCCTAAACCCTAAACACCTAAACACTAAGGCCCAAGCCCTAAACCCTAAACCTATGAAGCAACTTATCTCCGAAAGTCTGCTAGGCTGGATACTTCAAGGCTTTGGGAATGATCTTGGAGGGTCCAGGTCCCATTAGGACCCTGAAGAACCTACCTTTTTCTTTTCTTTGGGGTTGAGGTAATTCCATGATGGTACCTAGAGTCTCCGTTGTAGTTCCTTCTAGGGGTTGCCTTAGAGGTTCCTAGACACGCAGACGGTTAAACCGACAAAATGAACTACAATGGAAACTACAGGTAGTATACAAATAAATACATAAATAAATAAATAAATATATATATATATATAGATATATGTATGGGGAGTTCTCTAAAGTAGGGTCCTTTTTAGGATCCATCTTATAAGGGTGCCGTACTATTTTGGGGACCTAAACAAGACCCTGATTTAGCAAACTACCCATATAGACCCTAAACCCTAACCATATATATATATATATATAATATGGACCCCAAACCCTAAACCCTATATATTTAATACTGACCCTCTTGGGATGTTCTCCTCGGGAAGGCGAAGAAGTGGAGGCGGCTGATGACTTCGTACCAGCCATTCTCAACCTCGGCGACGACGACGAAGAGGACGCCGGCTCACTTATACTTATATGGCTTTGGGGCTTGGGGTTCGAGGGATCGTGGTTGGGTTTAGTGTTTAGGGTATAGATTCTAGAGTTTAGGGATTAGGGCTTAGGGTTTAGAGTCTATAGTGTAAGGTTTAGGGTTTAGAGTTTATGCTTTAGGGCTTAGGACTTGGATTTTGAACTCACGGTTTCAGGGTTTCTCTAGGTTCTTACAATCGGGATTCTATAGGGTTTGGAGAGCTTCTATGTCAGGCTTGGTAGGGTCTCAACGGGATTTCGGATTTTCGATGTGGGTTTCGCCTCTCAGGATACAAAGATACACAATGACAAAGTAAGTTGAGGGTTCAGGATTGGTGGCCTTTTTTTGCTGGTCCTGAAGGCTTATGTATGGTTTTGGGCTCTTCAAACCCCCTAAACCCTAAACCATTTTCTTGATGCAGATACGATCTTAATACTACGGTTTAGGGTTTAGGGGTGAGGGTCTAGGGTCTGGGGTTTAGGGCTGGCAATCCATGGTTGGGCCGGAATCCAAAGGCAGAGGTCTGAATCTTTCGTTGACAGTCTAGCATAACACTCCCCGCTTAACGCGAGTATGTTACTGCCCGAGCCTCCCTCTAAACCCTAAACGCTGTCTCATAGTCTAGCCCCGATGCACTTCAGAGTTTCTGTTCCTCTCTCTGACAGCCAAAGACCAGAAACAGACAAGGTTCAAGAGCCCTCGAGGAAACAACGCACCACCTAAAGCCTAAACTTTCCTAAGCTTCCCAATTATGAAAGACGTGCGTATTCTCAGGGTCGAGGCTTACTAGTCAACCCCAAGCGTCCAAAGGACCCAATAATCAGGTACTTAGGTTTCGGAGAGTAGTTATGTAAGTTACTATTTGGGAGAATATATGGTTATTAGGTACTTGGACCCTTATGGCAAGGGCTCAAAGCCGTCCTTCGTTGGAGAGATCTCGCCAGGAGCTGGTGTTCGACCTTGGAATGGGCTGACAGGCACCCTTTGTCCTGGGGGGAAGGCTGACGGCTTAAGTCCTAAACCCCTAAACTTTCCTAAACCGTTCCGAGTGTAGGTATTCAAGGTTTCGGGCTCTTTCTTCTACTGGGCCGGGTCTTCGTCTATGCCTAGAGACCAACGTTCGGGTCCAATATAGGGGCCTTAATAATTAGAATAGGGTTTTGGGGCCCATTATACTATAATTATAACAAAGGAGCCCCTAAAATAGTATTGGTAATTCTGTAAGCCCCTACATTAGGGTTAAGGGTTTGGGAACCCCCCCAAGCACTCCCAGTCCATGCTGCGGAAAAGTCTTTGGCTCCAGTTTTCAGGTCCGGCATATTGGGGCAGGGGCTAGGGTTGAGGGTTTAGGGTTTAGGGTTTAGGGTTTAGGGTTTAGGGTTAGTGGTTCTGACGTTGAAATGTTAAAGGTTAGTCTTTACGTAGGGCATTATTTCACAGGTTTCTTCAGGCTCTACATCGGGGACCGAAGTCACTAAGGTTTGTAAACAGTCCTTGATGTTCCAGAGATCTTTGTCCAAAGCTCTAAGGGAGTTCCAGCACCAGAACTGCCAAGCGGTTCAAGCCCCGGGAAGAAGCCCTAAACCCTAAAGCCCTAAATCCTAAACCCTCCGCTGTTTCGGCTCAATGCTGAGGGCATTCCGTAAAAGCCACGACCAAGTCACCTGCTTCAGTCTCTCCGATCCTTTCGAAACCATGGTGCCCCGGCAGCATGCGGTTTAGGGTTTACTCTACCGTAGCTGAGCATGCGAGTGAAACTGAAGGAAGGATGATTAGATCTGGTACTCCGTCGAGTTCTGGACTTTGTGGCAGTTACACGCGGGCTTAGTGAACACACTATTGCTTTGTAAGGTGTTCAGGTTTCGACGGTGCCACACGACTACAGTAATGAATGCATGCAACAAACGCAGGCATGGACGATTGCATGTACACATCAGAACCGATGATTGAATTGCAAGCGCATCTCAGGTCGCACGAGCGGACAAGCTCGTAAAACCAAGTTCCTCAACTCCCAACTAAACCCCGACCTCGCTGGTGCTTCGCCCCTACACCCTTGTAAGTTTCCAAAGCATAGGCATAGAAAGCCTTTCGCACATGATTTCAGCCTCTTTCCTCTATGCCTCAACGAACAAGTCGGACGGTTGAAGTCTACGTTGCCTGCGTTTGGGAGAGGGGCTCAATTGAAACATACCAAAAAGGCTCAACAAGGGCTGACAAGGGGATCAATTCAGTTTTGCGGTTTTCAGTTGGCGGCCTTAGTTTGCCAGTGTCAAGCTTGAAGCCAGGGTTTAAGGTAGGAATTACTTTGGCTCCTTAACCTTGAGCCTTAAAGCCTTTCATTGCCCAAACCTTGACTCCTCTTCCTACACGCGCTTGGATCAGCCAAGGCGCGCGGCATCATCAAGCACCTCAAGCGCATGTATGCCTCTCGGCAGAGTCTAAAATTCCCCAACCGTCCGGCTTCCTAACCCTGAGCCCTAAAAAGACTGGATTTCCCCTTTGGCCAGGTATCAATGGCCCCATTTCCCATGTGTAAGAAATCAATTGCCCCATTGTGCTATTTTTTCTTGGAGCTCTCCCGAAGCCATTCGTATATACATCCTGAACTTATGTGTATCTGAAAAGTGCTATTTGTAGATAGGTTTTTGGGCTTAGCCTAGGATACTGGCAGGCCACATCTAGGATCTACAGAGCTGCAACATGCAAAAGGGGGCAAGAGGAATATGCAAGAGCGGAGCCCACAGGCGGAACACATCTGAAATTCCCCAGCCTGAATCGCACAGTCCTCCCGTACAACACTTTGTCTGATTGACAAATCCTAGACCCTGAATTCCACGCTCCAGACTCCTGAATACCAAATGACACATTCCTTTGGTCCTAATCGGAAGGCGGGTTTAGGATTTAGGCTATCCTAAACTCGCCAACCCAGAAATGCCGAAGTCGTACCATAAACCATCATTATAGATCTCTGACTACTGACACTCCCTCGTAGTCCGTATATGACTATACCAGAATATCGCCCGGACCCTATTTCAACTACTCGAGCGCCTCTGTAAAATCCCGTAAGAACCCCATAAGCCGCTCAAGCGCCCTACTTGGAGAATCATGGGACTTAGTAGCTAGGGTTTTAGCTAAGGTACTTATAACTTAGAACTCCAATGCAGCTGCTTCTGTTCTTTCTTCCTGAGTCCCATGAACCTCCAAGTAGGACCCGATGTCAATTTCCGGGCCCCGACACCCGAGCGAGAAGATCTTTAGACCCGAGGCGCCCAAGCACTGGATGCTCGACAAGCTTCGAGGCCTTTTGTTTCTCGGGAGTAAACGTTTTAGAGTTGTTGACCTTTTTCTCTAAGTAGGGTTTCCTGGGAATGTAGATTCAGGTTGCAGGCTGCATGTTTTTGTTTTGAGGGCTCCGGGGTTTACTTAGATAAGGACTCGTTCTGATGATGCCCTAATCCCTAAACCCTAAACCCCGAACTGCAATCTTTGCCGCTTCGGACTCAATACCAGTTTGACCCACTTTGACTCCCAAGTCCGAGTGCAACCCAACATCACCTGAACCCTACTTGGAGAATCATGAAGTTTGGTTTCTTAAGTGCCTGAATTAGAGTTATGCGTGATTATAACTACAGCTGCCTTGTTTATAGCCCTAGTTACTAAGTCCCATGACCCTCCAAGTAAGCCGCCAACAGCAAACAACCTCGGCAAAATCCGTAATCCCCAAAGCCTAAACCCCAAAACGCCCGAAGCTCCTATAAAACCCTAGAGCTGCAGGCTAAACCCTTAGTCCTTTCAGCCCTAACACCTAAACCCTAAACCCTGAGTTCTTGAACCTGAAATCCTCAGACTTTTCCAGGGGTTTGGGGTTTCAAGTTCAGGGTTTGGGGTTTCCTAGGCCCTAAACCCTAAACCTTAAACCCTAAACCCTAAACCCTAAACCCGAAGGGTTTAGGGAAATCACAGGTTTCCCAAGACTTCTACAGCGCAGGACGCTGGGCGCCGAAGCCCAATGCCGGTCCTCACAAGCTCCGCCTCCTGGGCTGTCTTTAACCCTAAGGGTGTAGGGTTTAGGTTTTAGGGTTTAAGGTCTAGGGTTTAGGGTAGAAGCCAAACAGTTGGAACATGGTTATCCGAATGCCCTTAAGACAAAGTATAGGGGATCCCAGCGCAAATCATCCTTAAACAATGTTCCAAGTTTCTCTGGTTCACGATAAGGGTGCGCTGTGTTTTAGTGCCTTTAACAAACGAGGGCCCAGGGTTTGAGATTTACGTCCTCTGGGACTGTCTTTGAGGGTTTGTGTAGAGGGATTTGGGTTTTTTTGTGGTATTTTAGCGGCTTGGGTTAAGGGTTAAGGAAGTCTTGGGTTCTCTTGGGCCGTTGTTCGAGGGTTTTTGGGGGGATTCTGAAGTTCGGGACTTAAGGTTTTATGGTCTAGCATTTTTGTTTCTGAGGGTTCAGGGTTTGAGTATAAAGAGCTTAGCTCTGGACTGGCAACGGATTATTTGTCCGCTGGACCCTTGGGGTCAGGGGTTTAAGATTTTGGGACCTGGTACGTGGGTGTCGGGTTTTTGAGGCTTTGAGGGCTCAGGGTTAATAATATCGAAACCTCAACAAAACTCTATACTATTTAAGAGGGCTCCTGGTTGGAGTTAACTCTAAACCCCAAACCCTAAAGCCTAAGCGCCAAACCCTAAGCCCCAAGCAGGGTTTAGGGTTCAAGGTTTAGGGTTTGGGGTTCGTGGTTAGGGTTTAGGGTGTAAGATTTAGGGTTTAGGGTTTAAGGGTGTAAGGTATTGCAAGGGGTCGGGCCATCCGTTGGCCTGTAGCTTCAACCTTGCCTCAAACTACCAAACAGTCTTTCTTGTAGGTTTTATTAGAACCCGAATATGGAGTCTATATGGACCATACAAACAAGTAGTAAAGTTTGGGATGCTTTTGGTTGGGGCCAGAATTGCCTTCAGTCGGTTTATCCCGTTGGGAAACCCATCCCGGCTTACCAGCTTCCAACCAACCCTAAACCCTCATTGCTCAACCCTAAACCCTAAATCTTCTACAAAGAACAAGCTTGTATCCGAGCTCTGCATCCTCAACCATAAACCAGAGCGGCATCTGACGGCTGAACTCAAGGTTTAAGCGTCAAGATTCAAGGTGGAATGTTTCGGGGGCCTCGGAGATCTATGTAGGAGTTTTAGGTCTGGGGCCTAGGGATTGTTCCAGGTGAGTGCATGCCGCTTATTGCTGCTTTGTCCGCATTTTTGACGGATTCCGATTGGCATTCTGGTATTCCTCCCCAGAGCGCAGGATGTCGGGCGTTATGCTGCAGGGGGGATTCGGGGATTGGGAGCACGACGCGGGATGAGCGATGTTGGACGCAAGCAAGGTTTGAGATTCTAGTTTTTGAGGGTTTCGGGTTTAGGGTTTACCGATAGTCTCCATTGTAGTTCCTTTTCGGGGTTTAACCACTTTTGCATTCAGGATCCTCTAAGGTAACCCCCCTAAACCCTAAACCCTAAACCCTAACCCGAAAAAGCAACTACGATGGAGACTGTAAGTTCTGGTTCAGGGATTTCAGGAGTCTAACCCTAAGGGTCCAAGTGCCTAATAATCCTTTACTCTCCCAGCCAGTAACTTACATTACTACTATCCGAAACCTAAGTACCTCATTCTTGGGTCCTTTGGACCCTTGGGGTAAGGAGACCCTAAACCCTAAACCCTAAACCCTCATTCTTGGGTGCTGTGGACCCTTGGTGTAGGGTCCAGGATTCAGCCTTCGGGCGCTTGAGGGTTACGGGGATCTCTCGAAGTTCAGCTTACATTTAAAGCTGGTTTTGGGGATAACCTGCGTAATATAGGAGCCTAAATGAGTACCAAGACGTACCAAGACTATTTTTTTGGGGGGTCCTTTTTATAATTCTAGCCCCCAAAAGCCTATTCTATTTATTAAGGCCCCTACAATTCTGGTATCCAAGGATGAGAATACCTCAGCTCAGGGTTCAGGAAGAGTGTAGGATTGACCCTACAATGACGAACAGTATATATATATATATGTATATATTGTATATACACATACATATACATATACACACACATCATATATATATATATATATATACACACCGAGCGAGACGCGCGTGCGTGTATGTCTGTGTATATGTATACGATGATGATGATGATGATGATGATGATGATGATGTGTATCTGAGTATATGTGTAGATGTATATGTGTATACGTATGATACGTATGAATGTATGTGCTTGTATGTGTGTATCTATATTTATATGTGTGTATGTGTTTGTGTAGGTGTATGTGCTTGTATATGTGTGTGCACAGTGCATGTAGACATATATACAGTTGTACATAGCATATATATGTATGTATGTATGTATGTATGTATGTATGTATGTATGTATGTATATATATATATATATGCATACTTACAAATTCAGGGTGAGACAGCAAACGCTTGGGGAGGTGTGAGTGTAGGTGCATTCGTTGTTGAGTTTCAGAGGCGGTAGGCTTTCCACCAGAACGATCTCGGAGGCATCTCAGTCAAAAGACCTGTCGGTTCGATCTTGGTTTAATGGATGTCGTGTTGAGGCCTCGGGTTCATTGACCCTTGTTCCGTGGCCTTGCGTTCATACATGGCCAACAATACTGGTTTGGGCTTTAGGGTTTATAAGGTTTAGGGTTTAGTGCGTAGGGGTGAATATCTGCTATAGTAACCTACGATATTGGTACTTGGGCTCATTGGCTTTGTGAAGCCGACACGCAAACCTGCTATTCAATTTCCCGCGCCTGGAGACCCAACTGCCTCAACTCATCGCCGTCCAGGTGATGCTGCGCCAGCGCCTCAAGTACGCTTTGACCTACCGCGAGGTGCCTCAAACCTGAACCCCCAACCCTGAACCCAAAACCTCGCATGGATGATGCTACACCCGTAAACCCTCAACTGGAAGCCGATGGCCCTACATCCAAAGGCAGACCCTGGACAGGTTTAGGGTTTGGGGTTTAGGGGTGTAGGGTTGACGATTTCGGCATTTAGGGTTCAGGGTTCCGGGAAACCCCCACACCCTAGACTATATAAGCCCTTGTCCGACAGCCCGACACCTATAAACCCTTAACCCCCAATGCCGTAGACCGGTGCTGAACGAAACTCCACAGAAACTCTGGCACGGCCACAGCACACCAAAGCTGCTCTCTCTCAAAACCTAAACCCATACACCCCCCTGCAGAACAAATGCAAACGAGCCCCGAATGATAGGGTCATGTTTCCCTTAATTTAGGGCTCGAGATGTGTAGTAGCTAGCGACGTCCCTTACCCTGAAATCATATATCTCTGCATCCGCTCTTGAATCCCAAACCCTCGAGCCCCAAATCCGAAAACCAAAAGTGCCCAAACCGATTCTAACACTCTAGGGTTTAAGGTTTAGGCTTAAGTGCCCAAACCCTATACGAAAAAAACGAAAGGACTAAACCCGAACTCCAGCCACTGCGTGGACAGTCTCTCCTCTGGAAAGTTGTGCAGCGTAAATCAATTCAGGGCTCGGGCCCCGCAGCCCTGAACGACGAACTCCTGCACTGCCTGCGTTCAGAGATGCTAGACTAGGCTCTTCGTTAGTAAGGAATTCAAGTAATTTAGAGGGTTTAGGGTTCAGGGTTTAGGGTCCGTTGTGGGGATCTATAATGATAGTAAGAATCTGCTTTCCTTATATAAACTTATATATCATGGTAACTTAAAGTAGGTTCCTTAACGCGAACCCACTAGACGCACGCAGGTGAAGATGATTGTCATGCAGCGGCTGATCAAGGCTCCCCCGAGTTCTTACAGCGGTAGACTCTAAACTCCATAGGGTTTAGGGTTCAGGGTAGTCTCTATATAAGTGTAGTAGAACATACCCTCAATCCCCATCCTAACCATGAAGGCTCCAAAACCCTTAAAGCGGAAAGCCAAGCTTAGCAGACCGAAGCCTTGTCCCCTACTACCGGCAGGGGTTTTGAAAGACAGGGAGCCCCAGAAGCCCAGCTACACCCTAAACCCTAAACCGTTCAGGGGTCCTCCTTTGAGGCTTCCATTCCCTCAAAGGGTTCCTTGAAGGGTTCCCTAAGGGGTGCTTCTTCAAGGGGTCCTTTAAGGGTTCTTGAAGGGTGCCACAAGAAACCTAGACCCGAGAGTGTAGCGCCAGTTGTTGGTGTTTTTTCGGTGCCCTTCCTTTCCTTACTATAGACAGCTAGCCATACGATAGGCTGTCCGAAAGGATGGTACTGCATTTCCAGGTTTTAGTAGTCTACATCCCTAAGGGTCCAAGTAGTCCTTATTTATGGTTTTAGGTACCCAAAAACGGCCCAAAGTCCTTAAAGAATGGGTACTTGGACCCTTAGGGCATTGCATGAAAGGCTTCGGGTGTTCACGGTTTGGGAAGCACAACCAGTCTTTGAGTTGCTAACCCTTCCTACGACCCCCGAGTTGCAGGCGAGTCGAGGAGGAGCCTAAATAGGTTCAGGGTTTAGGGTTCAGGGACTAGGGTTTAGGGTTTAGGGTTTAGGGCTCCAGCTGCTTACTGAGTTCTGAAGCCTCTAAGTGGCTACCCCCTTATCAAGGGCTCGTGAAGTCGTGGGGCCAGCACCAGGTGGACGGCAAAGTGCGCACGGACATGTTCTATCCGGCTGCTTCACTGAACAAGTCTTGGTCTGGGCTTTGGAGGTTTAGGTCGTATAGAGCCAGGAGAACAGGGTTAAGGGGTCGGGGTTTTTCTCCAACTGCCGAGGTCAGAGGACCCCCGAAATAAAATGCCTCTTGTCCCAAAACTCAAGAATCGAGCCCGAAAGTGCGCGAACCACATGCCCCCAAGTTGGAGAAGCTAAACTGGGTTTGCCAGTGGTACCCTCATGCCCTTTGCCTTTCACGGGCTCCCTTATTAACGCCAAATAAGGAATAATAGGCAAAAGGGTACCCAATCAAGGCCTACCTAGTAAGATCGGGGCAAGGATGCCCCGTACGTCCGTGTACCTCACTGCTTTACCCTGTTGAAGGGTTCCACTGCGCCTTTTGGAAGCTTGTTAGTGTTCCGGTTTAGGGTTTAGGGTTTAGGGGTTCTTTGAGGTAGATGTGTGGCGGGCATAAGGTGCAAGAGGCAGAAACCTACTACAGAGCCAAGGGCCCATGTTCCTTACAGGCTGCTAGTGTAGCTTCCCGGAAATGCAATTCGGGCCCAAGTAAACCCTAAACCCTAAACCCTAAACCCTAAACTGTGTGGGGACATGGGCCCTACAAGACCGTATATACGAAAACCCTAATGAACCCGAACCTCAAACCTAAGTACATACCATATAGCTACAAGAACCCTGTAAAGTCGTATATTGCAAGCCCTAAAGAACCCTAACCTTTAAGCTAAGTATATGCCATATTTGTACAGGGACCCTCTAAAAAACCGGTTATAGCGAAGCCCAAAAAACCCCGAACCTTTAAACCTCAGTATACACTAATCCCTAAACCCTAACCCTTAAACCTCAGGTTATACTGTATCCCAGAGGGTCCGAGGACCCAAATAGTAAGGTTTTAGGCCCCAAAATCCATACTCTGAGTGGTTTTTGGACCCTNNTTGGGTACTTGGACCCTCTGGGTATGTGTACACGGGCCCTACGAACCCTTAAGCCCTAAAGTGTAAAGTCGCACCTAGAGGCCCGCGCCCTTAGAGAGGCTGGGGGCTACTACACAGGTCACCCCTAAACCCTAAACCCTA